GAGAGAGAGAGAGAGAAATTGCCGGAGCATCGAGTGGAAGGCCGCCGACCGAGGGCAACGAACTCGGCCTCGTCCCGGGCCCCGCGACCTACATTCCTGCCCGCGCTGGAAAGTGAAAACGCCTCTTTCTCCATTCCTTCCTATATGAATAGCGATCCGTATATTACGTTAAGAATTTTTCCACGGGTCCGTTAGGTGCATTTAGCGGTTAAGGCCTATAGGCGACGCGTAAGATAACGTGTTGGAAGGAACACACATTGCCGGAGGGCAAACTCTCCCTTTCATTGGACCTTTTACTCACCGGCCAAGACGCATCCCAGAAGATTTTCGCTGTCCTGTGGACCGGTCCCGCGGTAGCAATTTCGCGATGATTGTTCCTTGTCATTCTCGTGAGGTTCGCCCGACGGTGAGAGGATGTCTGACGCCGAGGGTTGTTGCTCCTCCGCCGCGGTACCGCGTGGCTTGACCTTCTGCACAGTCATTGCCCGGCAACGGAAAAAGAAGTCGCGAGAATTGCACCCTCGAAAATCGCGCTATGAACCCCCGACGCGTAGCTCCCTTTGACGCGTACACCCGAACGTAAACAATGAACGGCCGGAGAACATGCCACGCCGCGGGACATGCGAGTAACGCGAGACAGTCCCCTTTCTCACTTACAGCGAGCGTGCTAAATCAAATCGCACTTAACGAACTCTCGTAACGGCATAGGCACACACTTGTCTGCCGATTTTGCGATCACAGTTCGATCAACAGTTGTGATCCGGGTATCGGTAATTCGATCACTGTCCGTTTGTCAACGCACCGCTTATCACCGGCGCGTTATTGCGTTATTGCTGTCGCACCATAACCATCGGCACGACCGCGTGGTTGTTACCTACAAATCGGCGCTGACCCGCGCTCGTGGTTCGTTGATTAGTTGGTGTGCGCTGTGTGTGCCGTGCGATGCAGTACGCGAGTGAGTTTCTCGCAGCGTGGTGTGCCGCCGCACCGTGGCGCCTGCGCGTCGAGCCCGCCGGGGATCACCGAAGCGCTACGTCCACCCCGCGCGCTCCGTCACTCACTCTCAAGAATTAACTTTTGGTCCAATCCAAAAAATTTTTAATTCTGAATTCAAAACATCGAATTCAAAATCGGCCGATTTATTCTTAGACCGAGTAAGTCATTTTTTTTTTTTTTAAGAAGAATTTTTCGTTTTCGTTTTCGAAAACCGAAAATCAAAATATGCGATGATATAAACTCTGCATATATCTTTCCAGATCTACGTATGTATGTTAATCAGTTAGTAACTTTTAATTTTTACGAATTATTCAATTTATTTACATTCGCAACTTGCTAAATTTAGAATAATAGATTATAATCTATTATTCTAAATATAGAATAATAGATTTAAGCTATTATATTTTATAGATTAAAGACTCGCAATTTTTAATAATCTTAATAATAATTTGAATGAATGTTAAAAATTTTTGTAGTAAATTGATAGTATGCACGATACGAATGCGCGTTGTTTTTCGAGCAATGAAACAGATCTTATTAAGTCAGAGATTAAACTATGATCATATCATATCCTCGGGACAAAACCGCTTTATTCGTACGGCCAATTGGCACGGTTGACCCGTCATTAGGATCAAGGATCTTGGTCGACAAACACTCGACCTAGGTTTCATTGTGCTTTGACAATTCCTCAAACTGCATTATCCATGTAACACGCGTTGTAAAAATGACTTGTTTTAAATTTTGCTAATTAAATTCAATCCTTGAATCTATCAATTTATATACACAATTCTTCAGGAGATTCAGGAGATTGTCATACAATATGGATTTACATTTCTACGTATTTATATTTGAGCCAACTTCAAAAGCTTGTACTTTACATGGAGTAAACCTAACTTAACGACCAGTAATTAAATTTGCTTAAATATTAATGATGTAGATTACTGTATTTAAGTGAGAGAAGTATGCATCTTTTTTTTTGTACATTTAAAAATATCTTTGATTTAAATCAAATCGAAATTGAAAAATGTTCAAAGGGTTAATCTTGTTACGGCCCTGTTGGATGTGATATACAATCGAAGAATATAGTGCGTTCCCCTGCCAGGTTGTCGTTGACTCACCAACACTTAGAGAGTGAAAGCTGTTTAACCCTTGCGCTAACGGATACGCATGTATGCGTGCAGCACGAACACGTGGGTTACGTCTACGGAAAATACAAGTTGAATCACAGGTAAGTGGTGGGACCGAAGCGAGCAACGGTGCACGGATGCCAGCGTAATCTAAAAGCAGTCAAAGCCTAACCTATCCTAACTTGTGGTTTGTAAATATAATTACATAGTATTCAGTGATTTAATCGGAAATTGATTTACGTAATCATTGAAACATGTTAGTCGTTGTTAACATTGAAAAATGTTAGTTTATTTTTTATTTATCGTTAGTCTTTCTATTCTTTACTTTCTTGAAAAAAATTGTTGTAGTGTAACATCCAAAATTACAAGAATTACAATCATGAACTAAATATAATGTTTATAAATTTTAAATGTATTATGGTCAAAATTAACAAGTATGTCACTCATCGTATTCATGAAAAATGAGTTAACTATTCGATATCTTGGTGTGATATCTCGTGTGATTATTCGTTCAAAAATAATTATTATTCATCAGACGAATATTATTAATTAGTACTATCGTATTTTAAAAAGAAATTTTTTTCTATGTATTTAACAAAGATATTCAATAAGACGCATATGAAAAAAAATTTGACAAATTGATTAAATAATAATACAGAATACAGATAATATAATTATAACCTGCAGTTTGAATATTAATCATATTTTTTTTATTAATAAAAATTTATTAATATTATGATTTTTATAATTCTTCCATTTAACATAGGAAATTTTAAAACCCGTAAATTCTTTGTTATTAGATTGTACATTGTTTACAATTTTAAAACACTTTACTTATTATTAAAAAAAATTTGATTTCTGTATAAAGACATCATTAATGAGACGAGGCTACTATTTATTTTAATATATTTTTATTATTAAGAAAACTGCTTTTTTTGTAAAGCATTGTGATAAAGAAAAACTAAATATCCGAAAAAAAAATGTAAGGATTTAAAGAAACAATCCAGAGGGAATGCAAATGCATTACGTTTAAAGGACTTTGAAAAGACTTTGTACTAATGACTCTGCTCAAACTATAAAGAATATAAAACTTGTATTTCATAGTAGTATAAAGTATAGTAAATGTATAAAATTAGAAATGCATTGTGAAACTCTTTGTCCTGCTGGAATAAGTAGATACATCTTATATTCGCGGTCTGCGTATCGGTGGCAGGAGACGATTTTATTGCATTCTCGTGCAGGCCTACTTGTACGCAGACAATGGACAGCTGGCTGAGATATGCAGCCGGTCAGAATAGATGTCTATGCAATGTCAGCTGCCTAACGGAGTTTGCGTGGGACACTTTCCGCGTTGCAATAGCTACCCACCGTCCGCGAGAAATTTTTCAGGTGCAGCTTGCACCGTTTGATTCGCGCGCAAGATAATATCCTAGAAGTAAACCTGTAATTACGAAACTTGCAGTCCACTCCCACGTGCGATGCTTATTGAGAAAGTGCATGGACGTTTGAATATCTCGTGATGAATATCTCGTCGATTACGGATTTGAAAACTAGCTTCACATTTCTGTTTCTATTCATTTAACAAATCTCATACCACGGCGGATATTTTTATCACCCTTATCAACTTATTTGTCTCACGCTATGCATTTGCAATGTGCACTGCAGGCACATATAGTGCATAGTATGCGAATAATTTATATTTTATATTACCCACGAGAAATGATGAGAAACAGATATGTAATTTTTATAAAATAGCATATTTGCATGATCATTCGAGCAAGAAAAATTATAATGGTATCGGTAAATATATAAATGCAATGCACTCTTTCCGCATAAGGGCACAAAATGACTAAGTTACTTAAAAAGAGTTCATTCTTTTTGGCACAATCAGAATCCAAATTTTTTCGTACTATTTTTTCGTCAGTATTTTTTTAATGCGCGCATTGTAAGCTCTGAGAAATCTCGAAATAGGAACATTGAAATCGTCGATTGTTTAATTAGCAGTCAATATCTGGCACAGAATGTGGGTAACTGGGACTTGTACTTCTTTCGCAATGTAACTATAAGAGTGTAGGCTACCGAGGTAGGTTGACTGGAACGATTAGGTCGGGAAAGTCTATCCTACATCCAAACTTAGAAACGAGGTAAGATACGCATGTTAACAAACAGCTTTGCATTGGATTTCGTGCGATAAACGAATAAGCGATTTTAGCGATAGTAAAGTAATAATAAGTTCAGCGCTCCATATAGTTTTCACTCAATCCAAAAGTAGTAAGTAGTCTTACATATTTACCAAAATATATTAAGTTAAAAAAAAAAAAAAAAAAATATCCGCATGTAGGATATAGCTATCTATAGATTATTTCATAATTTTTATTTTATATTCCTGAGAAGTATTTTTATCACCTTCCTCTCCTTCTCACGTTCTTCAACACTGACCAACATTGTTCGGCCTACAATTTTCTATTGCACAATCAGCGCCATTCTCAATCAACAATGTGACATATATGAACGTACAGGCAAAACACATGGCCGCTCGGATGTCGTGGCGTGAACAACAGTTTGACCAAGAAAGCGAAGCTCTCGGTGTGAATCTGCAGACGTTGGGTAGAGCTGACAATGCACATTCCACTATTGGTTTGTTAGTCAATTACATCTGCACGCACTGTGTTAGACAACGTAACATTCTTGACAACGTCGCCTCCGCAAGGAGGTATGTATCATGTTTCATAACATGAATTTGTTTCCTACGCGCGATATACTCTCGATCTGCTCTATTTAATTGACAGGAGAAAAATATATATATACTGTATCGATAAAAATGTGTACAAGTTGTGTACAAGACCAATCTAACTTATAATCAATTGACATGTAAACATACCTACCCGCGATAAATTTAATCTATAGCGATGACAGATACATAGTTGATTTCGATGACGAAAGAGATAAACCGTTTCAACGGTTTCACGAAATAAATCCGTAATCATAACATCGCATTTAACCACTCTATATCGCGTTTCATTGAATCTTCATTGAAATTCCATTCGCGTATTTAAATGGCGCGTGTTCCCGAGCTTCAAATAGATCCAGCGTGACATAAGCCTGTTGCATGGTCAGATCGGCTCTTGTTGCCGGAGACGCGAGAAAACGGCGGTAAGAAATTGAAAGAATCGGCCTCGCCGAACGGAGGAGACGGAGGAGAAGGCGAAGAAATTCTCAGAGAGGTAGATAGGATATGTCTCGCCTAAACTAGGCCGAAAGTGCAGAAAGCCAGACGTCGTAATGCTTCTATACGTAATGCGTTAGCGAGCGTTACGTTATACCAGCGTTACGCTACCGGATAGTCGCTACCAGTCAGATAAAGTTCCTTCACCCTGGCTGTCAACGGCGTCGGCTGCCAGGCTGTTGTAAGTGCGTTTTCACCGCGCCTCGCAACGATTCGGCCGTACCGTTGCCGCGCCGCGTTTATCGATCGATCGAACCGCGGATTTATGCGACTGTCGAAACGCTGTGTACCAGCCAGTTTCAGTTGCACGACGATAAGTAACACTATCATTACGCCTGCCAATCTGTTCCGCTGATAAAAACGGGCCGCCTTAGGTGGCCCGGATGATGTAGTAACATTGTTAATTGCGATACAGACGAAACGGATAAGATACATTTTCGCGAAAGTCCGAAATCGAAATGCTCGACTGTGAACCGATAACAATAGAGAATGCCAGAAGAAAAGTTTAAAGTAGTACCTTTAGGAACTTTAAACACTAATCGTCACCAACAAAATATTACGAAAATAAATCGAAAATAATTTGTATATTAATAAATGCAATTCTTTTATCTCTGCTG